CAGAAGCTGCTGGTGCTTTTTGTGTCCATCTGTTGGAGCCTGCTTCTTGGATCGTCTGCCAGCCAAGAACAAGCGGCACTGTCTGCCCTGCCATAACACAGGGGAGAAAACATTTCATCTTCACAGATTATCATCAGTACACGCACGTACACACACACACACAAACATATATACACACACACATGATAGAAGGACCCCCCCACCCCCCTTCCCCCCCCCCCCACCAATTTTTCTCGATAAGCTGAAAGCTATACGCGATAAAGTGAGAAAAGGGGACATCTAAATTCTTCTTATTATTGTTGGTGTTTACCGGCTGTAAAATCCTGTGGAAAGTTTTGGTTGTTCATCCACTTCTGTGCTTTGGTCTTGTTCCAGAAGCTGAATTTTTGCCTGTACATCCATTTTATACATCTGGCTTATTTGTATGCAGATTGTTTGTTTCTAGCCTCTCAGGCAGATGCAACACTTGTAATTAGTCACCTCTTACGACTTAGTTCTTAAAGGGCAGTGGATGTACCCCTCCCCCAACTACAATGGGGCACCTGAACCCCAACGGGCAGGGCATTTGACAACTTTGAGGATTTATGGAACGAGAGAAAGATAAAGAAAACAAGAGAATATTCTTTAAATATGTGACAAAAAAAAAGTGACAAGGTTAGCGGATGGACTTCATTGCGCCAAGCTATTCTACATGGTGTGTTTCCATAAACACTGCAAGTCACCTCTATAGAAAGCGTCGCACAAAGAACGAACTCCGTAGTTTCAGCGGCGTTCTCAAGGATCTCTACCAATTGTGAATTTACGGAGCTAGAGAGAGATACAAGCCGACGATGCAATATTGTTTGTCTGAGATAAAATCTAACGTAGCGATACAACCCACGTCAGTTGATTAAGTAGTGTATGATGACCTATTAGATCAACTGCCCTCAGCAAGCACGACGTGAAATTAGTGACTTGGTAAGATTGGGTGTGTTGAGCCGAAAGGCTCAGAAATCACAATCTAGCTGTAAAACTGAATACAATGTGTCAATATCCCTTTCTAACGCTAACGAAGAAGAAGACGAAGAAGACGAAGACGAAGAAGAAGAAGAAGAAGAAGAAGAAGAAGGAGGAGGAGGAGGAGGAGGAGGAGAAGAAGAAGAAGAAGAAGAAGAAGAAGAAGAAGAGGAGGAGGAGGAGGAGGAGAAGAAGAAGAAGAAGAAGGAGAAGGAGAATAATAATAATAATAATAATAATAATAATAATAATAATAATAAGAAGAAGAAGAAGAAGAATAAGAAGGAGAAGAAGAAGAAGAAAAATAATAATAATAAGAAGAAGAAGAACGCCTACCACATGTAAACGCTTCTATTTACACTTTCACGAATATTTAGGAACTTAGACTGAACCTTCTAGCAGGCACCGAACTTCGATCAAACGTAAGGGACGACGGACGGCGGCAGGTTGAATTCAGTCGGTCACCAGTGGTGATGATAGCAACCGCTAGCTCGATCTTGTGTGCTCCTTGTAACCTCTCCAACAATTTGGTATTTTTTACAAGAAAATGCAACTGGTATTAAAGGACGAAAAGCATGAAGCACCAGCAAAGTTTGTGTATCGCGCCAGCAACTTCTACTGTTAAACGTCGTACGGTCATTCGTATCCATTGAATTGGCATTAGTTTAGTGCATCTGCATCATTCACTCGCCAGTTTACTTTTTAATTGTAAATTAAATTAGTTTGGTAAGTAATGGTTCTTTATTCCAACTCTTTTACTTTTAATCTGGGATTCTCTTTTGTCGTTAGTCAATTTTTATATACGGATAAGTAATTTTAAATAAGCGAACAGATCGATGACACATAGGATGTTGCAATGAAGGTGATAATGAATGGTATACTGCTGTTTAATTATTATTAAAAAATAATATTTTTTATTAACAATAAGGATTTGCATGTCTGTCGTGTTTCAGTTTGTATACCTAGTACCCTAATTATTTAGTTGCGTATCCTATTCAGGACGTTGCAGAACCAACCCCAGCATTTTTTTTTGGTTGTGGTGGTTTTCCTAGGCAAGTTTACGTCCAGTAGTTTGCCATTGCTTTCTAGACGGTCGGCTTCTCGATACCACTGTCGAAACCAACTCAAGGCGCAAGGCCCGCAGCTGGGATCGAACCCGGCACCCCCGCATTACAGAGCACGTCCGTAATGCCTAAGCCACAGACATCGATACCTAGTACCTAGTGGTACTAATTTTTAGCAGAGATTTTCTTTTCAGACATCCTGGGTTTAAAACGAAACACACACAAATCTGGAAATATAAAGTAAAATATAAAAGCCAACAAAGACAGTTTGCTATGGCATCCTTCCTCTGCAAAGTACCAGAAGTTCAATTAAAAAACTAAAGAATGCCTAAATATCTAAATTTCATAGGGTTATAGGCTGTATATTATATTTTAAACTTTAGTTGTATATCATGTACAGGACATTGCAGAACCAACCCCAGCATTCATTGTTTGCCCTTGATTTTTCTAGACAATTTTATGCTCAGTAGTTTGAACAGTCGGCTCTCGATGTCACTATCGAAAACAACCCAAGATGGTCTTCTGCCAAATTGTCCGTAGCCAGAATTACAAACTGCTTTTGCAACACCTACACCACAGAAGCCAACATATAATATTATAAGTTTCGGCTATCCAAATAATGGTCCTAAATTATTGAGGCGGAAAATATACCCTAACAGGGCCTCAGTCACGTATCAATTGCGCACTTTCGTCGTCTTAAATCACCGAGAGTATCCCAAAAGTGCGCAGTTGACACGTGACTGAGGCCCTGGTAGGGTATATTTTCCGCCACGATAATTTAGGACGGTTATTCGGAGGATAGCCAAAGTTTCAATACTGAGTTCTGTAATGTCAAATACTAAATATTAAAAAAAATATATAATTATATATATGGCAATTTTATATCGTGAACATTATAAAGTTAATTGTAACATACTATAAAGATAAAAAAGATTTTGAAAGGCAAACCCAGCCAGCAAATGACAAATGCCTGAAGAAGACAGATGGGCACTTTTAAAGGCACAGAAATACTATCCATACTGTAAATGGGCACAACACAGTTATGCCCTTGGGTGAATGCAGAAGTAGTGGGAGTAGTAGTGATTTCTCAGAAATATCCTTTTCAACCATCAGTGTTATAATTGGGATCACACCAACAGTCCTGTGTTAGTAAAGCCTTCTACATATGTCACATCCTCTATCAGAGGAAAGCTTTGTAGACATTTTAAAGCACAATCCAGATCCAACAGTTGGAGTTGAAGAATGCAGTAAAAATAAGATTCTTAACTATTTGTTTTATTGCGAAATATCAAACATCGATTGCAACACCACAGACACTGACTTCCCACCATGAACACTGGTTTTCTGACACAAATATACATACAAATTAATGCTGCTGTTTTGTCTTTCTAGACGATAGTGGCCTGCTTGGACTGCTTTGTTAACTCTAAAGAAAAAAACATAAGTGTCAGCTTCACTATTAGACTCCCACACTTGAAGCATGAAATACTACTGAGCTAGCAAGAAGTGAAAAGGGGGAAGAAGGAAGAAGACAAGAAAATAAATGGTGGCTAGGACAAGTAAGTAGTTCCTTTGCAGAACTGCAAAAACAGAATAGGTAAAGGGAAGACAAGGGTTCTTCTCATGTAGAGGCCGTGAAATATGTGCTCACAACCCAGGCAGTGAATGTATGTATAATGAGTTATGCAACAACAACACATAACCATATAGGCAGCACCCAGACAGAACATGTGCACAAAACTACAAGTTCTAATCTGAATTATACAAAAGAAATATAATCATCTCACTCAGCTGATTTTTGTGTGTGTCTGAAATACAAAACCAGCATGTTTTGCGGATAACAGTTCATTAACAGTGTGTTTGAACAGAACATGTGCTCTTTACTGTAGCTTGCAAAGAGAGAGTTTGCCTTTTTCTTCAGAGCAACCTACTGTCTAAAATCTTTGCGCGAGCATAGACTTGGAAATAAAGATTTAACATAATCAAAGAATATACCACCAAAACGGGAGACCCAGTGAACCAATTCAGTGCCTGTCAATCTCTGTGCAAGTACATATGTAAAATAGTTAATGACCAACTGCTAATCAGCTGCATGTGACAAACAGCCATAGACTAAAAATGAAACATTTCATTTTGTTCAGAATCCTAGTGTCCCATATTTGTTTATAACGCACGGTGCAGGCGTCACTTTACTTTACTTCTTCTTCTTCTTCACTTAAGGTTCTGTCTCTAGCTCTTCTGGCCGCCTCGACCATAGGTACATCGTGCTGTTGTAGAGTTTCTCTGATGTTATCCTTCCATCTTGTTCTTGGTCTACCTGGTGCTCTACGTCCTTCTTCTCTTTCCATGTATGCTTTGTATGGTATGGTGTCACAAGGCATTCTCTCTAAGTGGGCAAACCATTTCACCTGCTGTCTTCGTATGTAATTTAGAATTGGTTCTGTGCCGACTTTTTCTCTTATGATCTCATTCCTGATCTTATCTCTTATGGTCACTCCTACAGCCCTTCTCAGACATCTCATGTCCATGCTTTACTTTACTACACTTCCAAAAAGTAATTTGGGAAATATTATTTATCTCTCCCATGTGGGTTCCGGGGCCCTGTTGTGTGGAAAACAAGAATATACCCTCTGCCTGCCCAGAAGCATGTGGTAAGGGTCGACTAATTGGGAGCTTCCTTTAAAGTCAGAGTACATCTGCCTGAGAGACAGGGAACCAACAGTCTGCATGCAAATGAGTCTGACCCGTGAAACAGATGTACATGCAACACTCAAGTTCTGGAACAGAACTGTCCGCCGGAGTTTGCAGCTAGTGAACACGAAGAAGAAAAAGAAGATTATTTATCTTCTGAAAAGTGTAATGTTGTGATGAGGCTTTTCTTGTTTGTAACTTTTTCAGTGTACATTCACAGTGTGCATATGTGAACCGGCTTTAGTCATCATGGCAGAAAACGGACAACTGGCAGAAGAATATCATCCTCAGCAGACTCCAGCACATACATTTTCTCCACCGTTATCACCTCTGCCCAGCAGTTGTAGCATCAATAGAAGGCTGCTTCCTGTCAAAGGATATTATTTTGTGTTTATGGCTGGTAGGCATATTATACTTTTCAGCTCTTTCCGTGTGGGTTCCGGGGGACCTTTTATTGGGAAAACAAGAATGGACCCCCTGCCTACCCAAAAGCATGTTGTAAGAGTTACCTAATTGGAAACTTCCTTCGAAGTCAGAATGCATCTGCCTGAGAGGCAAGGAGCCAACAGTCTGCATACAGAAAAGTCAGATCTGTAAAACAGATGCACATGCAACACTCAGGTTCTAGAGCAGGACTACAGTGCAGAAGTAAGTGAACAACCAAAACTACTCGTCGGAGTTCAGTTAGTGAACACGACGAAGACAAAGAAGAATTCTCTGTCACGCTTGTTTGTCCGTGCCTCCTTTTCAGTGTCATTACTTCTCCTTGTGAGTTTCGGGGCATTACAAAGGGGAAGAGGGTTGGGGGGGGGGGGGGGGGGGGGGGGGGGGGGGGGGGTGGCATAGACTTACTGTCCCCTAACAAGCATGTCATAGGAGGCAACTAGTTTGGGTGTTCCTTTCAAAGTCAGAAGTATATCTGCCTGAGAGGCGAGGAACCAGCAATCTGCATACAAATAAGCCAGATCTGTTAATCCAATGCACACGCAAAATTCAGGTCCTGGAACACAGCCAAAGTCCAGAAATTGATGAACAGCTAAGACCTTTTTGCTGGAGCTTACAACCAATGAACACAAACAAACAAACAGATGAAGAAGCAGGATAATCTTTCCACTTTGATTTCTGTTTAAAACATTTTGCACATTAATTATGGTTTTATTTCCTTCGTTTATTAAGTTATTGAATCCTTATAGATGCCATCTCAACAATGAAAGTTGGCTGTAGTTGATCTTCAACGAGATGCAGAGGTGCAGAACCATACGTTACGGTGCACTAGCACTAAGAATCCTACCGGTTAGGAACTATCTATACCTGTCCATGGTCATCCTTGAAACAGGTTCCCAACCGGCAGTCTGACCAAAGTAGACAGGATCGACATTTCCTTTGAATTTGTATTGCGTCTGCCTGAGAGACGAGGATTCAACAGTCTGCATGCAAATAAGCCGAAACTGTAAAATGGATGAGCTTGCAAATCTCAAGTTCGGGAATAAGACTAAAATCCAGAAGTGAATGAACAACCAGAATTTTCTGCCGGAATTTACAGCGGGTGAACATGAAGTAGATTAAACAGGTAATACACATCAGAAAATCTGAAACAAGGACAAGATATCTCCCATGAAGATGGATTTATTTTATTGTATTTTCACTATGACCAGTTCCGTGTGTCTAGACATGGACCACTACTGACAGAAAATGAAGATGATGAATGCCAGTAACTACCTGTTAATGTTTTTTTTTCTGATTAATTCAGTGACCTCATTATTCAAGAATGCTTGTCCTTTATTTTTATAAAATTTTCAAAATGTAAGCAACCAGACCTCGGGTGATTAGATGAACAGTGTATTAAGAGAGACCTTGTGATGTGTATTTCAGTAGAATTAATTCAGTTTTTTTTGTTTGGCTTTATTATTTGTTAATGTAACTCTCTAGTAAAGCACTTGATGAGAGACAGTGAAGTATATCTGGTAGTAAATTGTGCAATATATTGTTTGTATCCACATTATCTAAATTCTATGGTGAAATACAACTAAATATTAACTTTGTTTTACAACCTCAGCTGTCGGAGACTTGCTTCCATTCATTGGCATTTACATGCTGCATCTGGGATTAACAACGGAGGAAACCGGACTTATCTACGGTGTCATGCCCTTCATCGGGTTTTTTGTCCGGCCGTTAATTGGAGCTTTGTCAGACAAATATAAGAAACACAAGTTGGTTCTTATTCTTGTCACTGCATTTTCAGGTTAGACTTACCTGTCATTTTGTTGACTATTTGGGGAGCGGTCTACGTGGCGAAGTTGTTAAGTAACTTCTCTTTCATTCTGTAGGTTGTGAATTTTGGTTTAGACTATGCTTCCGGAGTCGCTCTATGAAGAGAGACACGGTCATAAGGGATTTTTAAAACATCGAAAGCAAAAAATGTACCAGATAAATAAACAAACAAATCTGAAGTTAATAAAAGCTTATAAAAATGTCAGTCCAGATGAGATGTAGAACAATACCACAAACATGAATGACAAAATGAATATTGCGGCTAGAAAACCTTAATCAGGGTATGACACAAGGGTCAGTGATACTGTTACAAATAAGAATATATATTTTTATAAAATTCACAAGAATTACAGTGAGGGCTGTTACAAAATTATTCATGCTTCTACACTGAAAGTCTTGCATTTACTTGGTGTCGAAGAAGTAAGATACTTGCAGTGAGTTGTATCTAAAAGGGGATAAAATCCAGTGTAATGAAGGTGAGATTCTCTTGCCTTTAAACTGTTTAGGGATTGAGAACTTATTGCTTTCTGTTAAGTCAAAAATGTAAAGTTATTTATAAAGTAAAATTAAAGGACTCTTTTCCACACCTATTGGCGTATAGGGTATAGTGTTAGACTTATTTTTTAGACCATTCACCACTCAGTGGGTGATGTCGTCAACATCACACCAGCCACATCTGCTTCCTTGGATTCACCTGATACACTCTAGAGGCTGGGTCAACCCGGGAGCCAAGATCATTTCAGACAAAAGTCTGGCTCCATTCGGATTTAACCCCACAAACTTAAGATACGCATTTGAGCATCTGGTTACTATACTGCAGCAGCTTTCATTATATAAATACTGACTAAAATTTATGTAATGTGTGTACATGTTGATACATGTTTGAATCCATTGTTTATATCTGTTTACCGCATGGCTGTGTCAGACCTCTTCTGTTGTTTGGTGGTGAATTTTGAAAACATGAATGGGTTGCAGAGGTTGCTGTACAGCGCGTGCTAGTGCCCAGTAGACAGGGCTGATAATGGTTATAACTCATCTTTACTGCCATGGTCATCCTAGAAACTGGTTCCCTCTAAGAGGCCTGGACACAGTAGATAGGATTGATGCGCTCTTCAGAATCGGAGCGCACCTGCCTGAGAGGCAAGGAACCAACAGTCTGCCTACAAATAAGCTAGATCTGTAAAATAGAGGTGCACGCAGCAGTCAGGTCCTGGAACAAGTTCAAAGTCCAGAAATGAATGAACAGCCAGAACTTTCTGTTTGAGTTTACAGCTGGTTAGTGAAAAGAACAGGGGAAGAAAATTGAACACAATTAGGAAGAGATTAGAGGTAATGGAGATGTGTTTTCTGAGTTGAATGCTACAAAAACCTTGGACAACCAGAGTACACATTAATTGCTAGGAAAAGTATAATGGGACATTTTCATCATCAACCTCATCATCATTATTTGATCTGGCTGGGGATTTTCAGCCAGAATAAAGGGAAAAATTGTGGCAGAACAAAACGGAGCTTTTTTATCTACAACTTTAAGCATGAGAATGGAAGTGGAGGCAATCACTGCAGCTCTGAAGGGGGTAGCAAAAAACAAAGTAATCAGAGGAATTATTGTGTCTGATTCTCAGTCGGCATTGCGGAAGGTTAGAATGGACTAAAATGATATGAGTGGATACCATGCATCAGTACGCCAACATTGCAGGGAATCACGTGGATGTACTGTCCGGGATATGCAGGAGTGCAATGAAATGAAAGAGCAGATTATCTGGCTACAAAAGCGAAAGCTACAGGTACACTCTTATTGGACAAGGGAGATATTCTGAAGACCATATATGACCAACTTTTGGCAGAAGACGCGAGATTAGATGAAATAACATGGACAAGAATGTGTGAACGAGGAATTAAGTGTGGGCCCAGCAAGGAGGGACGGATGAGAGGAACAGATCGGCGTGTGTATAATCAGTATGCTACGGGAACAGTAGCATCTACACCTTACGTCATTTGCGGCAGGAGATGGAGCACCTATAGGTATGCCCGGTGTGCTAGGATGTCGATTCCTAAATCAGTAATCAATAATCATCATCATTTGCTTTGCTAAGTGGCTATAGCTCTCAAATCTCTCCACAGATCTCGGTCCCTGATATTTTTAAATCAGTTCCCCTGATGATATTGCCTCATGTCATTGCATCTGGTTATCAGGCATCATCTCTTAGTCTGCCTTGACCTTTTTTACTGTTGGGGGGCTACTAACAATTATGTAAAGTGCGACTAACTAGGATCAGAAGATAACATCAGAGACATTTACAACAGCACTATGTATCTGTGGTTGAGGCGGCTAGAAGAGCGAGAAACAGAACCTTATATCTCCCTCGACATCCAAAATAGTAAAAGAGGAAGTGAAGAAAAAAAAAAGGTAGAGAAGAAAGATATATCTCCTTTTTGGTGTGGCAGAAGGCTTATGAGTTCCCTTGACTCCAGTAGCTATACTACTGGTAGCTCAACTACTGGTAAAGTCTTGCATATTGAACAGGTCAAGGGATAAGTGCCAGACAGAAAGTGAAACTTTCCTGCAACATTTTAAGTAGATTATGATGTGTCGTTACCTTGTTGTTCTGAAAGGACTTGCGAATTTTGCTGGCCCTGAGAGCTAATACTGATGGCTTACCTATTGGTAGAGTCTACCAAGTCGGACCGGACTGGGGCTAAAGTAAGGCAAAGAGAGGGACACAACCCTCCTACCTTGCAGGTTGGCTGAGGACAGTCAAAACTAGGGAAAAGAAATGTGAAAAATAGTGCAGAAATCGGATGTGCCGAGAAACAGTCTGGGCATAACTTTACTACGTTACTCTCTTCATGACAAATTTGTATCCCCCTTTTATTTCTCTTTGACAGGTATATTCTACTTCCTGCTGGTGTTTGTACCACACCGGCCATCCCCAGCACAGCTAGAAATTCATACAAACTTTGCATGTAGCACTCAAAACTCATACTTCCACGACTGCCCTGTCACCACTCAGGCAGCGGGCTGCAGTGTCGGACTGACTTACTTCGCCAATTCAACTGAAACCAACAAGCTCAATAAATCTCTGTCATGTTCTGTTTCATGCCAAGCGAAGTCTGATGCCACTATACCAGACTTCAGGTATTGTTTTACTAATAATACAGGGGAATATGGTTCCGAAGGTTGTACTGATACAAGCTACAAGAGAGTCCTTAGATTCACAGTCCCAGACCTACAGGGACTCATTGCTAGTGAGATCATTGAAGACAGGGAGACGACTGGTTCAGCGCAGTGCCTCAATTATGATGTTAAAGATATTCTCTTTGGAAACACTTCTAAAAGAGAAGCCTTGCAAATTCTGTGTGGTAGAGCGCTTTATTTGGACTGCGCCTTAAACTGCGACAAAAACCATCCCTGTGAGACCAGCCCCATATTCCGATTAGATACAACATTCTGCGTCTTTTTTGTGATTTTCTTGATGGCAAACATTGCATTTGCGCCCGTCTTTCCTTTGTTGGATGCAGCAGCCTATGACAATTTGGGGCAGGATCGGCATTTGTGGGGGCAGCAAAGAGTGTGGGGGACCTTTGGGTTTATTTTGTTTGCTGTGACTTCCACCTTCATTATGGACATGCAGAAGAGGGACGGCAAGGCAGTGGATTACTCTGTGTCAATCTATTTGTTCCTTCCTTTAACCCTCATTGCAGCATTTATTGCCAGTTTCCTGAATATGTCAGGTGATATCAGGTAAGATCAGGTTGTCTTTGAACTCATTCGATATCTTGCTTTTTTTACGTGCACGGTAAGAAAAATGTTTTCTTAACTTTTGAGCTGAAATGCTCTAAAAAGATTTGCAGAATACCCAGGTGACATCATGGTGATCTGGTCCAGGAAGGAGGCTCCACTGGGTGGACAAAAACAGCATCGGCAGCTTCTGCAGCATGCTTTTTTCCCCCCCAAACATATTGTATATTACCTTACCCTTGGGGTAAATAAGTAGGGCTAAGAGAGGGATCGTGTTGTATGCACAACACATGATCTCTCAAATACTATGCAGACTTCGTAACGTGGACAGGAGGATCGTCATCTGAGGTCTTAATTTGCTGTAATTCCCACGCCTCACGTATCAGTTTCATATTTGAGCCAGGTCATGCAGGCGTGCAAGGAAATGAACCAGCTGATCGGCTTGCAGGTAAAGCTACTGTGGAGGACCAGCCATGGACCACGCTGATATTCTGAATGCTCTATGAGAAGGAAGACATTTGCGAGAACCAAGAAATGACTTCTGAGCTGAAATGCTTTAGAAAGATTTTCAGAATACCATGGACAAAGAAGGAGAAAAGATATCCTAAAAGATCTGAATCATCAGATGTTATGTATACTCAGCTCTGCTGTATGGTGCAGAAACTTGACAAAGAACCTGCATGTAGAGAATCAAACTGAATCTCTGGAAATGTGGATACAGGTTGTATTTCATGGAAACAAGCACAGTCAAATACACAAAGGTTCTGGAAAGACTGAGAAAGAAAAGAATTATTGAAATAAATAAAAAAAAAGATAAAGTTGAAATAGTTTCGCCACATTAAAAGATGCTTGTAAAAGCCATTCTGGAGGGAAAGGTCTAGAGTAAGAGAGCATGAGGTAGGCAACGATACAAGTGGAAAGACAATGTCAAGAGATTGACAGACAACATTCTAAGAGAGTGTACAACCAAGACAAGAGACAACCTGTCAAAGACGTATTGCAGCCAATGTTCATTGTGGAGACGGCACCTGATTAACTGAGAATATCTAAACATCAATTAAGATTGGCTAATAAACAGCATCTTGTTTTGGAAGCTGAAATATTTTAGCCATATCCATCATCACAGCACCGGGAATGGATAGCTGATGAAACTGAGTCAGCGGTGCAAGAGCTGATCAATGAAAATTCAGGCCCAGGTGACATGACATCATAATATACTCAGATGGGTCTGTGGTAAGAGATAAAAAGAGTGGGTGGTTTTTTTTGGCCAAGGTGAATGGGCACTGCTTGAAAAACCAAATTGGTTTGAACATTTTGTCACTGTTTACAGCTAGGCTGCAGTATCTGCATTGGGGATATAACTTTAGTAATATAAGTCCTTCACGAAACAGATGAAAATCATAAATTGCTCAGAATAGTTATATGTAGACAGGCAATTTGGACATGTGTTGATGTGAGGGCGCAAGAGGTGAGTTGCCGCAAGGTCAGAGCATGTATGTATAATGGTCATTCAACCTGTCCTGACACACCTTCTTAATTCTGCTCACTCATACTCGTCTCTGACTCCTTGAGCTTGATGGTTACCAACTTTTATGAGATGCGTTTTAGTTCATTGTTCAAACTCTGGAACAGTGGTTCTCAACCTGCCTAATGCCATGACCCATTAATACAGTTCCCTCATGTTGTGGTGACCCTTTAATGCAGTTCCCTCATGTTGTGATGACCCTTTAATATAGTTCCCTCATGTTGTGATGACCCTTTAATACAGTTCCCTCGTGTTGTGGCGACCCTTTAATACAGTTCACTCATGTTGTGATGACCCTCAAACAATTTTTTTCCTCCATAACTTCAATGAATATGTGTTTTCCTATAGTCTTAGGGGATCCCTGTGAAAGGGTCGTTTGACCCAAAAAAAGGGTTGCGACCAGCAGGGTGAGAACTGCTGCTCTAGAAGCACATGAACACTGCAATTTACAGTCATATGACAGTGACAGCAAACTGTCTATCAGAATTTGTTTATAGTTCATACGTACGAGGAAGTCTGAAGGGCATATGAAAGAGAAACTTTATTATTCTGCCATTGATTGCCTTATAAATAAAACAATTTATTGTTTGACTCTGACTAATACTTAATCCTATCTACCAGCTGGATTATATAGGCTAAATCTGCCATTGCTAAAACAAGCAAAGTCCTTTGTGTTTCCTCCTGAGGGACCACACTTTTATCAGTTGTATGGGCTCATTTGCATATTGTGCATCACATGAGGTTTACAGGTTCTGCATCACATGAGGTTTACAGGTTCTGCATCACATGAGGTTTACAGGTTCTGTGCCCTCCTTAAGTTCATTTCTGTGTCTTGACTCTCGACCCCCGAACACGTCATGACAGTTGAGAGTTAAGAACCAGCATCACTGGGGACATTTCCACAAGTGCTCCATCCCCATCTTCAGCAGCCGGTGCAGAGTTCCACTTCCAGTGGTACCAGTAGCAGTCTGATTATATGTCCATCCTGACTTACCTCTGAGTGTTGATTGTCAACCAGATCTTAGGGTTACTCCCCGCTGTACCACTGTCAACCAGATCTTAGGGTTACTCCCCGCTGTACCACTGTCAACCAGATCTTAGGGTTACTCCCCGCTGTACCACTGTCAACCAGATCTTAGGGTTACTCCCCACTGTACCACTGTCAACCAGATCTTAGGGTTACTCCCCGCTGTACCACTGTCAACCAGATCTTAGGGTTACTCCCCGCTGTACCACTGTCAACCAGATCTTAGGGTTACTCCCCGCTGTACCACTGTCAACCAGATCTTAGGGTTACTCCCCGCTGTACCACTGTCAACCAGATCTTAGGGTTACTCCCCGCTGTACCATTCTCTGCAGACAGTATTGATCTGTTTGTGCTTCCACACTGTTCACTCGCTCCCAAAGGATCCCTGAACCATATCTAGCTTGTCGTGGGACCTGGTATGAGGTGGATTTAACTTCAATTGGAGCAAGAGAATAAATGCAGAAGCATGAATAGACTGTTACTGTGTGGAGAGAATGCTGTATTGCATATGTATTTTACAGATCTGGCTTATTTGTATGCAGGTTGTTTCCTTGCCTATTATTTAGGTGCATACAGACTTTGAAGGAACACCCTTAAGTTAGTTGCTTTTTATGAAATGCTTGATAAGATTGGGAGGGGGAGGGGGGCAGTGGGTCAATACTTTTTGCCTCAAAATGGGGTTCTAGAGCCAACAAAGAGTAGCCTTATGACTAAACCAAGTCAAGAGCAGATACCAGATCTAAGATTCTATGTGTGAACCAGCAAGCTATACTTAGCCCACTCTATTCAAAGAGGTTAAGGCCTCGCCACAAAATATTTCTTCTTCTTATTCTGCATTCACCCTGAAAGGGCAGTAAGCATGTTGTGTTGTGGTTTACAGCTAGGCTATGATATCTGCACCTTTCAGCCAAACACTTCCAATTTCAGCAGAATGCTAATTAATTGCCTTAAACAACATTCTTGTTACGTGGGTATTCTTTTTTCTTTCAAAATGAGGCCCCCTGAATCTGCATTGTGTTATATTATTCTTAAAAACAACAATGGAGATGGCATTAAAAAAAACATTTAACATTGTGATGATTTGTAGACAGAGCATCCCTACCTTGGGAGACTGAATCTGCAGGCAGAGATGGAGAATGTGTACAATTTTCAGGACAAGTGGACTTTTGATCAGGTGTCAGCTGCCATCCTCAGTGTGAAAACTCTTTGCTGGCTACTGAGGAGGGGTGCAGGGCATCTGTGAGAATGCCCTGAGTGCAGTGACATCGTTTCTTGAGCTGAGCTAAAGAACTGTACTCACATCATTAGGACTGGGATAGTCCCCTGAGTGTGGTGACATCGTTTCTTGAGCTGAGCTAAAGAACTGTACTCACATCATTAGGACTGGGATAGTTCCCTGAGTGTGGTGACATCGTTTCTTGAGCTGAGCTAAAGAACTGTACTCACATCATTAGGACTGGGATAGTCCCCTGAGTGTGGTGACATCGTTTCTTGAGCTGAGCTAAAGAACTGTACTCACATCATTAGGACTGGGATAGTCCCCTGAGTGTGGTGACATCGTTTCTTGAGCTGAGCTAAAGAACTGTACTCACATCATTAGGACTGGGATAGTTCCCTGAGTGTGGTGACATCGTTTCTTGAGCTGAGCTAAAGAACTGTACTCACATCATTAGGACTGGGATAGTCCCCTGAGTGTGGTGACATCGTTTCTTGAGCTGAGCTAAAGAACTGTACTCACATCATTAGGACTGGGATAGTCCCCTGAGTGTGGTGACATCGTTTCTTGAGCTGAGCTAAAGAACTGTACTCACATCATTAGGACTGGGATAGTTCCCTGAGTGTGGTGACATCGTTTCTTGAGCTGAGCTAAAGAACTGTACTCACATCATTAGGACTGGGATAGTTCTCTGAGTGTGGTGACATCGTTTCTTGAGCTGAGCTAAAGAACTGTACTCACATCATTAGGACTGGGATAGTTCCCTGAGTGTGGTGACATCGTTTCTTGAGCTGAGCTAAAGAACTGTACTCACATCGTTAGGACTGGGATAGTTCCCTGAGTGTGGTGACATCGTTTCTTGAGCTGAGCTAAAGAACTGTACTCACATCATTAGGACTGGGATAGTTCCCTGAGTGTGGTGACATCGTTTCTTGAGCTGAGCTAAAGAACTGTACTCACATCATTAGGACTGGGATAGTTCCCTGAGTGTGGTGACATCGTTTCTTGAGCTGAGCTAAAGAACTGTACTCACATCATTAGGACTGGGATAGTTCCCTGAGTGTGGTGACATCGTTTCTTGAGCTGAGCTAAAGAACTGTACTCACATCATTAGGACTGGGATAGTTCCCTGAGTGTGGTGACATCGTTTCTTGAGCTGAGCTAAAGAACTGTACTCACATCGTTAGGACTGGGATAGTTCCCTGAGTGTGGTGACATCGTTTCTTGAGCTGACTGCCCACATCCGAAAGAGACAATCTACATTCTTTAGTCATGTGATGAGAAGGAGAAAATTTGAGTACATCATGAGTGTAGGAAAGTTGGAGGGGAGGAGAGGCAGAGAGAAACCGAGAGAACAGATGCTGGACAGTTTGACATCATGGCATGCAGGATCATCTGTGTCTGAGTTGATTGAAAGTACACAAGGCAGAAGGTTGTGGATAGACAGGACTATGAACGCCACATAGCTTGGACTTTAATAAGAAGAATTTTAGAAAGGCTTAGGTGGGGCGTGGTGCAAAAAAGTCAGTCAGTTCCCCCCCCCCCCCCCCCCCCCCCACTTTCCGCTGCATTATTCTCTTCACATTGCAGTGATGTTTCCCTGTGTGGGTATTGGTGCCACATTGTGGGGGGGGGGGGGGGCAAATAATATAGATCCACTGCCCCCCTAACAAGCATGTCATAAGAGTCAATTAATTAGGGATGTTTTCTTTGACGTTAGAGTGCATCTGCCTGAGAAGCTAGGATTAAAAACAGTCTGCATACAAGTAAGCTAGATCTATGAAATGACAATACACACATAACTTAGTTCTGGAACAAGAGTGAAATTCAGAAGTGGAGTCCCCCGTGTGGGTTCCGGGGCCCCATTGTGGGGAAAACAAGAATAGACCCACTGCCTCCCCAAAAGCATGTCGTAAGAGTTGACTAATTGGGGAGCTTTCTTTGAAGTCGGAGTGCATCTGCTGGAGAGGCAAGGAACCAACAGTCTGTATTCAAGAGAATGAGATCTGTAAAACTGATGCACATGCAACACTCAGGTTCTGGGGCAGGACTGCAGTTCAGTAGTGGACGATAAGAGCCAGAACTTTCTGCTAGTGTTTACTGCCAGTGAACATGCGGAAGAAAAAAATAAGTACTGAGTTATTCACACTTCCACATTTTTCGCCTGCTCTCAAGGGACCTTGACCACGTCTAGCTGATCAGGCATCATATCAATTCACCACCCATTGGTACAGCACCGGCCAGTCTATATACTTGTTCATTTCTCAACCCACCTGCATGCTCTGAAGAAAAGATCCATAGGGAAAATCTCTTGATTCATTTATCTTCTTCTTTTGTCATCTCACTGATACCAGGTTTTAGAACAGTGTCGTGGTTTTCTGTATTTGTCTTTTGCTGATGGATTTGTTTATCTTTTTGCAGTTTTTGACTACACCATTTATCCTTCTCTTCCTTGGTCTTCATCTCGCCTTCCTCCCAGATGTTCTGCTGTAAGAGGTCTCATATGCAGTTTGGTCTGGCTACATTCTCACTAGATGGCCAAACCATTAAATTCTTTCCCTGTCAATATAATCCAGACATGGTCTTATTCCAACTTTCTCTCTAATTCTGGTATTCGTAACCCTGTCTCTTTGTACAGTTTCCTTGAAGTTTGGTATTCTTACCATGTTAATTTTATTTTCAGGTGTGGTCACGTCATGAAGAACATCACGCAGTTGTTGAAGAATGCAGAAGTCTCCGCCTTTCTGTTTGTTGTGATGTATTTCGGAATGCTGACTGGGGCTCTAGAGGCATTCCTGTTCTGGTTTTTAACCACCATCGGAAGCTCTCCTCTGGTCTTTGGCTTCATCTTGTTGATTAATTGTTGTGCCGAGGTGAGCTTGTATTGAACTGTGGTCTTTGAATCAGTCTTTATGTTCGACTTAGAGGCTAGCAAATGCGATTAACAATAGGATTAACAACAGCACAGATGTTTTCTGTTTATTGTGTTTTTGAATGTTTTTTTTTAAATAATTGGTAGTGACAGAAGGCTGGGGATAGACATGATAACTAATGCCACATGTCATGGGCTGTAAGAGGAAGAAGAAGAAGAATCAGCTTCAGCATCATCATTGTCAATACAAGGTCCGACAATTAAGTAATGAAAACTAATTCTATAAAAATTAAAATAATCAACAGTTGAAGATATAGCCTGTATCTCATTCAAAGAAAGCCCCTTGTGCATTGATACAGCTAGTGGCACGATCTAACAAACATTGGAATTACCTCTGTAGTTCTTCTGTTGTTATGGCCCTTAAAGTCAATGTTACGGCCCTATGGATTTCCACACCTTAAAGTCGATGTTACGGCCCTATGGATGTCATCAATATTGTTAAAGAAGCATCGTTTCAATTGTAACTTTAATTTTGGGAATAGAAAATAGTCACAGGGAGACAAATCTGGGAAATAGGGTGGAAGGCTGAGAACACACACTTGTTTTTGGGCAAAAGATTCTTGTTTTGATGATTTCTCTTAGGTACTCAACCCGCTGATGTTTTTGGTCATCAGACAACGAATGTGGTACAAACCGGCAAGCAACTGTTTTGGGGGCCAAAATCTTGCACTAAAATGTTATGAATGGTCTCTCTATTACCACCAGATTCATCTGCCTTCATCCACACAGTAAAACAATGATCTTTTTGTATGCGTTCTCTAAATTTTGCAATGAGCTCATCATTACGAACAGAAATTTAGAGTCCAGGTCTAGGTGCATTAGTAATCATTTCCACACCACTTTTGAATCTCGAATACCACCCGAATATTTGTGCACGAGATAAACAATCATCCCCATAAACTTGTTGCATTAATTCAACTGTTTCAATCGCGCTTTTTCTGAGTCTTAAAAAGAATTTAGCTTTTTCTCTGCGCAGATTTCGTAACAATGCACCGCTGGTTGGTTCAACAATATGGCGGCTTCTTTGTTGTCTACTTTTCAAAAGCGGCGATGAAAAATTGCCAGATCATAGATGAATGTTGCCTCTTTAGATTCCCTGCTTTGCTTCATAGATGACCTTTTTGTCATGGCCATAATAAAATTAGTCTCATTAATTAATTGTCGGACCTTGTTTGTGTATCCCTCGTCGGGTTCCGGGGCCCCATTGATAGGAAATAATTTATCATCAGAAATCCCTTGCCGTGAGCATCATCTACTCCAACTTTTGGACATAATTTATCATTAGTAATCCCTTGTTGTGAGCATCATCTCCTCAAATTTTCGCACTTGATTTATTATCAGTAATCTGACATAATTTATCATTAGTAATCTGACATAATTTATCATCAGTAATCTGACATAATTTATCATTAGTAATCTGACATAATTTATCATTAGTAATCTGACATAATTTATCATCAGTAATCTGACATAATTTATCATTAGTAATCTGACATAATTTATCATTAGTAATCTGACATAATTTATCATCAGTAATCTGACATAATTTATCATTAGTAATCTGACATAATTTATCATCAGTAATCTGACATAATTTATCATTAGTAATCTGACATAATTTATCATTAGTAATCGATCTCCCAATGTTTTCTTACCGAGGAGAGAATGGATCGTTGCACTTACACAGAGATACCATGAATAAAAGCATAAAAATTGACCTGGTAAACAAGCTAGGCCTGTACCAGATTAACACATTTTATGCCTGCCATATAAGTCAAATAATTGTGGAAATTTTTTTAGGCATGAAAACTGAACTTATAACTCCAATTTTCTATTACACACACACACGCATGCGCACACTCACACATGCACATACACACACATGCACATACACACACACACAAGCATGCATGCACACACTCACACACACATGTGTGTTATGTATATTTATGTGTATATATATATACACACACACACACACAGACATACACAGGGGGGCTGCGTGGTATCGAGGCATGGTGTCCGCCTTGAGTGCTAGAGGTTCTGGGTTCAATCCCCGGTAAGTAGTTGATTTTTATTCATGTCTACTTGGACTTCTAGTAATGTAATGAGATTGGACGCCCGTGTGCATTGTTGTGCACGTAAAAATCCTTTGGCGGTTGGAAATCAAAAAGAGTTAGTTAGTTAGTTAGTTAGTTAGTCTTTCCTCTTGTGTCGAGTGCGGCACATAGGGCAGAGGTCATGACTCTCCATGCATGGCGGTTTGTTGCAATCTGTTGTAGGTCATGGATGTTTGAGTGGCCCATGAGCGAGCCTTCCCTGATGATAGTTCTACGTAGAGTTTCCCTTGGTCTTCCACAAGATGTTTTCCCCTGTGGTGTCCAAATGAGGGCTTGGTAAGGAAGTCTTGATTTATCCATTCTAAGGGCGTGGCCGACATAGTTCCAGCGGCGTTTTCGTATAAAATTAGACACATACTATTGCCTGGATTCTTGCCTTATTTGTGTATTGGTTCGGAAATCTGACCATTTGCAAAAATGGCAAAATTTTGAGTTAAAAATCTACCCAAAGTATTTCAGGATCCTCGCCGGTGCTACAGAGCCTGTGCACTGTGCTGAGCTTCGTCGGACTCAGACTTCAGAAGAACGGCACACTTATGGGAGCACCCGTGTGCCATGTTGTTGATCCGTTGTTCAAACCTCACACACACACACACATATGTATAAACATTTGCTGTTACACCTGGATAAAGGTTAAATGAATTCATTTAGTTATTGCTAGTATTGTAACGTACAGCTACTAGTGTGGGATGGCTATAACTTTAATCAAGCTAATCCATAGTAGTTGTGTGAGTCATACTATAAGTGTGAGCATGTATATGTGTGTGCATGCATGGCCCTGAGGCGGGCGGGGGTGTAAACTTGTTTGTCATATTTGATGACATGCTTTTTACGCACCAGTATGGTGCATGTAGGTGAGAGAGAACAAAATGAGAGAGAGAGAAAGAGAGGTCTGTAAACTTTTCTGTTTACATTTTTTATATGACATCCTTTATGTGTACCAATACTGTATGTGCATGTGTGAGAGAGAGAAGAGAGAGAGAGAGAGAGAGATCTATAAACATTTTGTGACATCCTTTTTTTAATGTACTACTACTGTGTGTGTATGTGTGTGTGTGTGTATTGTGTGTATGTATGTGAGAGAGAGAGAGAGAAAAGGAAGATTGGAGGGTGTAAATCTCTACACTTTTCTTAACATTCTTAAGTAAGTGCCAAAGCTGTATGTGTGTGTATCTGTGTGTGTGTGTGTGTATGTGTGTGTGTGTGTGTGTGTGTGTGTGTGAGAGAGAGAGATCTATAAACATTTTGTGACATCCTTTTGTGTGTGTGTTTGTGTGCGTGCGTGCATGCGTGCGTGCGTGCGTGAGAGAGAGAGAGAGTGAGTGAGTGTGTGAGTGAGTGTGTGAGAGTGTGAGAGTGAGAGTGAGTGAGTGAGTGAGTGAGTGAGTGAGTGAGTGAGTGAGTGAGTGAGTGAGTAAGTGAGTAAGTGAGTGTGAGAGAGAGAGAGAGTGAGAGAGAGAGAGAGAGAGAGAGTGAGAGAGAGAGAGAGAGAGAGAGAGAGAGAGAGAGAGAGAGAGAGCTAGAAACATTTTGTGACATTCTTTTTTTATGTACTACCTCTGTGTATGTGAGTGTGTGTGTGTATTTGTGAAGGGGAAAAGATATGGGGGGGGGGGGGGGGGGGGGATCATCTATACAATATTTTCTCTTTTTGTTAACATTCCAAGGTGCCAATTCTGTGTTTATGTGTGTGAGTGTGATATGGAGAGAGAGAGAGAAAGAGATCAAAGCCTCATTTTATATTATTTTTATAACATGCTTGTGGGGTGTCTGCCTGTGTGTGTGTTTGTGTATGTGTATGAGAGAGACAGACAGACAGGCAGAGGGAGAGATCTATACACTATTTTATATTATTTTTGTAACATCCTTGTGTGGTGTCAGCCTGTGTGTGTATGTGTGTGCGGATATAAGATAGAGAGTTAGAAACAGAGAGAGACAGACACAGGAAGAGATCTAAACACTATTTTATATTATTTTTCTAACATCCTTGTATAGGTGCCAATGCTGTGGATTGCTGGAACAGTGATCAAGAAGATCGGACTTGTCAGCTGCCTGTATCTGGCCTTTGTCTGCTACGGCATTCGTCTGATCGTCTACTCCTTCATTTACGAACCCTGGTTGGCCCTACTTGTAGAGCCACTTTATGGAGTTTGCTTTGGGCTCATGTACGCAGCTGCCTCATCGTACGCAAGCATCATTGCACCCCCTGGTATGTCAGCCACTGTTCAGGGCTTGCTAGGAGGTGTTCATTTTGGGTTCGGTAAGTATGTATGTGTGTAAGAATGTGTGTGTGCGTGCGTGCGTACCTGCCTGCCTGTCTGTCTGTCTGTCTGTCTGTCTGTCTGTCTGTCTGTCTGTGTGTGTGTGTGTGTGTCTGTCTGTCTGTCTGTCTGTCTGTCTGTCTGTCTGTCTGTCTGTGTGTCTGTCTGTCTGTGTGTCTGTGTGTCTGTCTGTATGTCTGTGTGTCTGTCTGTCTGTGTGTCTGTCTGTCTGTGTGTCTGTGTGTCTGTCTGTGTGTCTGTCTGTCTGTGTGTCTGTCTGTGTGTCTGTCTGTCTGTGTGTCTGTCTGTCTGTGTGTCTGTCTGTCTGTGTGTCTGTCTGTCTGTGTGTCTGTCTGTCTGTGTGTCTGTCTGTCTGTGTGTCTGTCTGTCTGTGTGTCTGTCTGTCTGTCTGGATTGATGGATGTGCGTCCATGCATGCGTGCGTAGAGTTGGGAGTTTATGCTTCAGATGATTGCGAATGCGCTTCGTAATTCCGAGATACCTGACTTGATTTCAGCTGTTTGCGATTTGGAAGCAGACCACTTTACATTGATTTCGACCATTGTATTGATAGATGACCATCCATCCATAAAGCAGCAGCAAACTACTGGATGTAAAATTGTCTAGTAAAATCATAAACTGCCAAAAAATACAGTGAGCTATGCTGGCGGGAACATATGTTTCTTGCAGGGTCACCCAAGATGGACAGGCCATTGGTGAGTGGCCAGACTGAAGATGGCCTCCCAGTCCTCCAGGCTTTGGGGTTGGGCACGGTGTTGAAAGCTCTACCCTGTAAAAAAAAATACTACAAGGTTACAGAAACTTCCAAGAGAAAATAAGTGCTCGAAACATCCCTTGGTCTTGGGACAGTCTTTCTGTCAGTATGAACACCACAGGTGAAAGCCGAAATGAAGTCCGTGATAGAAAAACAAGTCTACAAGGCTAAAGATGGTCTCCCAGTCCTCCAGGTTCGGTGGTTTGGCGCAGTGTTGACAGCTATGCCCTGTAAAATACTACGTTACTGAAACTTCAAGAGGAAATAAGCGCTCCAAACGTCCAGCGGTCTTGGGCCAGAGTCCTTCTATCAGTATGAACAACATGGGTGAAAGCCGAAAGGAAAATCATGATGGGAAAACAAGTCTACTGGACGTCAAAACCAAATTAAGAATTGGTTTCTGCAATGTAAGAATCTCACATGGAAATCTACACTGAAGATTGCACAGGACAGGAAAACATGGAAAGTCCCCATGTGCCACTAGGCATATTTAATGTGAAATAAGAATCGACATCGCAGCACTCGGGACACTCCCATAAGTGCTCAGTCCTCATCTTCAGCAGCAAGCAAATAGTTCCAGTACCGATGGCACCTGTAACCGTCTGATTGTATATCCGTCTCATCCTTCCTGTGAGTGTTCAGCGTTGGTCAGATCCCCTGGAAACTCCTTGCAGCGCCATTCTTCTTAAACCGTAATGATCCATCTGCACCTCCGCACTGTTCATCCGTTCCCAAAGGGCTAAAGAGAACTGATGATTGATGATCCTCATTTTCTTGATCCACTTGTGATCCATTTCAATGCCTGTCTGGTGATTCTGTGTCCATTTACTCTCAGGATGAGCCTGGTATATTGCCATCTTCCGCTTCTTATAAATTTTCATGTCAGCACTCTGGTCATTTCTCTTTGTATTTCTGGAATTCATCTCATTTAGTGTCCACCAGTTTCTTCCAGCATTTGTTTTCGATAACTCAACCATCCATACAGGACTACTTAGTCGTAACTGTTTTGTGGTGCTTCAGTATAACTGCTATAGGCCATACAGCTAAATGAGATTTCCGGGATTTGATTGTCATCCCTGAGATGTTCTTCGCCTTCGTGTTCATCGGCTGGAAACTCAGGCGGAAAGTTCTGGTCGTTCATCCACTACCTTCATAGTTATAGTACTTCTGCCTGAGAGGTGAGGAACCAACAATCTGCATACAAATAAGCCAGATCTGTAAAATGGATGTGCATGCAAATCTTAAGTTCTGGAACAAGACATTGAGTCCAGAACAGTCAGAACTTTCCACCAGAGTTTACAGCTGGTGAACGAAAAGAAGACAAAGACGAAGAAGGAGGAGAAAGTGACATTGTGCCAAGAGCCTGCTGAATTATCATAATGTGTCCTGTTTTGCAGTTTTTAAAACATCTTGTCCTGACTTTGGGAGCCGCCGTGGTCTAGCGACTAGACGCTAGCCTGCGGGTTGGAAGGTCATGGGCTCAGTTCCTGATGAGGGCCAGATTTTTTTCAAAAATGAACTCGGCTCCCAGGTCGACGCAGCCTTGAGTGGGTACCAGATGCACTCATAGGAAGTAAAGACGGCCGGCGTGATGCTGACCACATCACCCACTAAGTGCCGTTTGGTCTATAAAATATCGGTCTAGCCCTATATACCCAATACGCCTGAAAGGCGTGGGAAAGGGTCCTTTACTCACTTTCTATGTCCTGATTTTGTTGTAGATGTTTATGACAATTGTTTCCATTCAGGAAAGGGTCTAGGCAGCTTGATCACTGGGTTCATGTTTCGAGGCATCGGTCCCAGATGGACCTGGAGAGTGTACGTGATCATCTCTGCCATCATTCTGGTGGTATACTTCTGTCTCAACAAGTTTGTGTTCAAGTCTGACCACCGCCAGTTGTCAAGACCATCTGCAGCCACAGGTGAGCTCAGTTTGATGTAGTGTCCAGTGGCGTAGGCAGAGGGGAAAGGGAGGTGCGGGCTGCCCTGGTGGTTGTCATCACTGAGGGAGTGACAAAATCACACAAATATATATATGTATATAGGGGAGTGGAAAAGAAATTGTTTGGACAGGGTACTGCCTGACCATGATAAGCCAGTGGTAGTGTCATGTGTGGTTGGTTCTTTCTCCTTTTCCTATCTTTCTCCTCTTCAGACTTTTCTTAACTTTTTTTCCCCTCCTTTTCCTATCTTCTCCCGTTCAGAATTTTCTTAATTCCCCCCCCCCTCTTCCCCCCCCCCCTTTTTCCTTTGTTAGTTAGTTAGTTAGTTAGTTGGGTTATCCTCATTGCACTCCGGACATGTCCATAGGTGCTCAGATCCTCCCCTCAGTATGAACCCCAACGTCCGATGGCTAATAGTACCAGTTCTATGTTGATTAACAAGTCTTCTGGCGTAGCTGGTGTGCGTCTCGTTTTTTGCTGTGCCGATCTTAATTCCCAAGTCTGCCATTCTGGCGAGTGATGTGGATTCACTGCCACCAAAGTCCTCTATTCTTCCCATTTCTCTGAGGGCATTGATAATATCAGCATGATCCATAGGCTGACCGTCGGTAGTGATAGCGGATCCAGCCAACCTGTCAGCTCTTTCATTTCCATCGACGCCTGCGTGTCCCGGAACAAAAATAAAGGTGATTCCACGAACAGTGGACTTCTGTAATGATTCAAGCCATTGTCTTCGCACTGAACCTGCCTGAACCCTCCGGATCATACTCATTGAATCACTGAGTATACACACGCGGGTGTATTTTTGTGTTTCAAGCCAGGCAAGCGCTTGTGTCACTGCCATCACCTCCATCGTCATGCTGCTGGTTGTCATGGAGAAGGCGCCGTTGGCTTCTTTGACTGTTCTGCCCGCTGAGCGTGCTGTAAATGCCCATGCGCTTCTTCTTTGGCGTATAACGGATCCGTCTGTATAGATTATTGCATCTGCCCCCCCTTTTTCCTATTTTTCTCCTCTTCAGACTTTTCTGAAGCTTTTTTTCTTTCTTGCTTACCTTACTTTTTAATTTTATTTTAACTTTTTGTTTATAATACATGTGATAATTAGTCGGTCCTCTTCCAGCTTGGGATGTATAGGTTTGCTAGATTGATCGTCGGACTTGTCTGTCTGCAGTTTACTTATTGGCTTTGTTCCATTTCAGTCCTCTTTCAGCCAGGGACTGTTGGATGTTGTCTTCCCAGTGGTCACTAGGTTGTCCTAGAAATGTAATTACCTGGTTCTTGACCTCCTACGCCTGTCGGTGGGACTGATACTCTCCTAACCTGCTTACGTATCTAAACCATCATAACTGGGGCTGGTCCACTCAGGTTTTTTAGGCTTGGGTTTCAGGATCCAGTTATTGTCTGGTGGTGAACTTTGTCTCCCTTTTTGTCACTTCTACCGCCATTCTCAGAAACCTCATTTCTGAGGCCTGAAGCTGGATACTGTGGGCTGTTGTTCTTTATAATAGTATATAAGAATTAAAAAAAAATTAACCATCAGATTTTGAACTTTTCGCTGGTTGCTCAAGATGAGATGGAGCACATATGGAAATGTCTGGAGTGCTGTGGTGTTGACTGATAACTTAACTCAAGAAAAAAGTACAGGACCTGTTTCATGACAGTGGTGTGTTGGGCATGTGATGCTAGAGTCATTTTCTTTAAAGTCTAATCACCTTTTAAAAGGTGATATGATCAACAGCGCACCAGCCAGCTTTACGTCTCAGGCCCATTTTTAGATATTTTGACCAGAGAGCCAAGGTCAGTTTTGTTCTAAGTTTAGAATTTGAACGGAAGACCTTAAAGATGGCAGGTGAGGGGCTAACCACTGTGCTATTATGCAGGCCTCCTACAGGCTCCCTCTTTATGATAATAAAGTCAGTAAAAGGACCCTTTTCCGTGCTTTCAGGCTAGATATATATTGTTTAGACCAATCTGCACTTGGAGGGTAATGTGGTCAGCATCATTCTGGCTGCCTTTACTTCCCAGGACTGCACCTGATACCAAGTCAAGGACATACTAGATAGTACCGTAGTATGTAAAGCTTTAAGTAGTACTGTAGTACGTGAAGCATATGAATGCTGTGTACTTAAGGTTGTACATTAGCAAGTAAAGCTTCCAAATTATGTGTACTGTAATTAGTACAGTTGTATGTAAAGCTTACAAAATTACAAGTACTTTCAATAGTACAGTTGTATGTAAAGCCTCTAAATTTTATGTTCTTTAAATTTTACAGTTGTATGTAAAACTTCCAAATTATATGTACTTTAAAAAGTACAGTTGTGCGTAAAACTTTCAGATTATGTGTACTTTATCAGTATAGTTGTGTGTAAAGCTTCCAGTTTATATTTACTTTAAATAGTACAGCTGTTTATAAAGCTTCCAGATTATATGTACTTTAAATAGTACAGTTGTATATAAAGCTTTCCAGTTATATGTACTTTAAATAGTACAGTTGTAAATAAAGCTTCCCAGTTATATGTGCTTTAAATAGTACGGTTGTATATGAGGCTCCAAATTATGTGTACTTCACAGGTGTGATGGTATGCAGTACCTGCCAGAATAATCTTTTATGCCTCTTTTTTTTTCAGTGCTTCTTTAATAGACACTTTACGAAGAGTACTGGCACTTTTATATCTAGAAAAAACAAAAGAACAAAAAAAATGGTACATTTAAAGTAATTGATATCTATAAGAATTTGTGATCACAGTATTTGATTACCATGTCCAATACAACTTTGCAGGACATCCTGATGATCAAGCCAAACAAGAAGTCACACTCATTAAATCCAACTTGCATTCAGATGGACCCGAGATCACTTTATAGGTTTCACAGAGCTGATTTTTTAGAACTAAGAATTCATTTCTGTTATAAATTCTGTTTTGTTGGCATTTGATCTCTTATTTTTTTAACCTTATGTTTTTAACTTCCAAGTAATATTTTACACACATTGCATACATGTTTGTGAGATTATGTGGCTGTGAAAGGGTGTATGTGTGTATTGTTGTTGGCCTCATTTCCACTTGATACCCACTTTTCAGTGATATATTTGACTTTAAGTTGCTGCTAATCCAGCATTGCCACCCATTGTTTTCTTGTGAAAAAAATTGCCCCTTTAAGTCATATTTAGCCTTTAGTATTTAGCGGCTGCAGAGCGACTCAGTTATGGTATGTGTCAATGTATAAGTATTGTTGGTCTAAGTGAATGTATTCCGTTTAATTCTCCACTATGTTCCTTTTTATTGATTACGCGCATTCATATATTTCTTTTAAAAAAAATTATGTGACTAAATTTTTTAAAAATGTGTTGATGGCCTATGTGTGTTTGTTTAAAAAGATATTTGAAAAATCTGAACAACTTATGCTAACAAATTTAGAGATCAGAAAACAACTTATAAAGTTATGTGCACTGCCAACGGATCTTAATCAGAAACACAGTTTATTAAATGGCTTGCGCTGTCAGCGCATTGACAGAGGCAAGAAAATAAATGCTAAAGGCTAGAAGATAAATGCTAGAGACAAAAAGATAAAAGATAAATGCCAGAAGCAAGAAGATAAATGCTAGAGACAAGAAGATAAATGCTAGAGACAAGAAAATAAATGCTAGAGACAAGAAGATAAATGCTAGAGACAAGAAGATAAATGCTAGAGACAAGAGGATAAATGCTAGAGACAAGAAGATAAATGCTAGAGACAAGAGGATAAATGCTAGAGACAAGAGGATAAATGCTAGAGACAAGAAGATAAATGCTAGAGACAAGAAGATAAATGCTAGAGACAAGAAAATAAATGCTAGAGACAAGAAGATAAATGCTAGAGACAAGAAGATAAATGCTAGAGACAAGAAAATAAATGCTAGAGACAAGAAGATAAATGCTAGAGACAAGAAAATAAATGCTAGAGACAAGAAGATAAATGCTAGAGACAAGAAGATAAATGCTAGAGGCAAGAAGATAAATTCTAATGAGAAGAAGATAAATGTTGATGACAAGAAGATAAATGCTAGATGCAAGAAGATAAATTATTAATTGTCTATGTTTCTAAAGATAAAAAACAAGACAGGTAGAATGAGAAGTGATGTTTACTGTCATAAAATGCCTGAAATCTGTAATACCCTGCAGTACACTCAAGCACACATATTTGCACACACATTTTTTCTGCATCTCCCTTCTCTCTCTCTCTGTTGCCTTTCTCTCTTTTGTCTCTCTTTCACATACACATTCACTCACAGTCCCCCTTTCCACCTCCACCTCTCTCTCTCTCTCTTTCTCTCTCTCTCTCCCTCTCTCTCTCAACTGACCCTTTAGTTGTAAGCAATTATTTTAACTATTATATTGTTTTATACATAAATGGCATTTATCCTAAGTTTTTTATGTTTTTATTGATGTCTAATTCTGTAGCTGAAACCGATTCCTCAGATGTTATTTATCACATTTAGAGGTGTACATAAAAACACTTTACTCATTCTGTTTGTCAAACTTGATTTATGTCCCTAAGTATAAGATGATCTTGTATTTGTTTTTGGAGGCGGAAATGTGGAGTAACAAAAAAAAAAATATTACACCAAGTTATTGAACTGACCATTTATTGATCATATAATCAACAAAACTCCTGATCACTGTCAAAACTGCCATTCATTTGATAGTAATTTAGCTTGTCTGCATCTGTGTCTGATGATGAATCACTGTCTTCATGTATTGCCTTATCCTCGGTTCCATCTGTGGCATCTGAAATGCCGCACTTTTTGAATGACTTGACAATAATCTCAGTCTTCACATTTACCCAGGATCTTTTCACCCAAGTACAAACTTCTCAAACAATTGGTTTCTTCTCATTACCTGCTGGTGTCAGATTGTCCCTAGAAGACTATGTCCATGGTTTTCATATTCAGCTGCATGATTTCCATTGACTTTTGCAAACTGGATCATTTCTGACTGGGATTCAAGCACTGCACAAAAGTTTTCTCTGGGACATTTTATGGGTAAAATATAACCTAATGCACCCCGTGTGGGTTTCGGGGCCCTATTATAGGGAAAACAAGAATAGACCCACTGCCTACCCAAAAGCATGTCGTAAGAGTCGACTAATTGGGAAATTCCTTCGAAGTCGGAGTGCATCTGCCTGAGAGGCAAGGAACCAGCAGTCTGCATACAAATGAGTCAGATCTGTCAATCGGATGCACACACAACACTCAGGTTCTGGAACAGGACTGCCGTCCAGAAGTGGATGAACAACCAGAACTTTCCGCCAGAGTTTACAGCTGGTGAACGAGAAGAAGAAGATAACCTAATGTAACAAGTGTGAAACAGTGGACGTGAAGACAAGCGCAAAAACTATTATTGCTGGACAGAACTTTTAATTTTAAAATTTTTAATTTTTAATTTTTTTATTTTATATGGCCGCTGACTGCCATTTCCAAATAAGGCCCTGTATGGGATATTTTCTAACAAATCATTTGGTAAAAATTTACTACTGCTGTTTAAAATGCACAGTGTATTTGGACCCTATATTTATGATTTGATTCAAGAACTGACATCACAGCACTTGATGCATTCCCATAAGCGCTGCATCCCTATCTTCAGCAGCCAGCAAAGAGTTCCGATACTAATGGTGCCAGTAGCATTACTGCCCTATATTAATAGAAAATAATTGTCTTATACCTAGGGAAATATGGTCGATCATGTTTCTTGTTTATTTAGTTATAGTGCTGGATTATTTTAGATATGTCTTTTGTCTGTATTTTGCATTTTAATCAGTTGTCATTGTATTATACCATTTTAATTACCATTTAAATATCTGGAGATGGGGGTGCAGAGAAGAAAAGGTCCTGTTCTATGGAAACAAAAACAATCAAATAGAGAGGTTCTTCTTCTCTTCTTATTTGCATTCACTGGCTGTAAACTGCGGCACAATTTCTGGTTGTTCATCCACTTCTGGACTTGTCTTGTTCCAGAACCTAATTGTTGTATGCACATCCATTTTTTTATTTGTATGCAGACTGTTGGTTCGTTGCCTCTCAGGCAGATGCACTCCGACTTCAAAAATAAACCTCCAATTAGTTGTCTCTTACGGCATGCTTCTTAGGTTGCCAGTGGGTCTATTTTTGTTTCCCACACTACAAGGCCTTGGGACCCACACTGGGAAAAATACAGAGGTTCTGAAAATAAAAATTAAAAATAAAAAAAAGAAGCAATATCTTGGCAATATTAAACAAATAATTCTTTCTCTCTCTTTCCCTCTCTCTCTCTCTCTCTCTCTCTCTCTCTCTCTCTCTCTCTCTCTCTCTCTCTCTCTTTGTCTCTCTCTCTTATAAAAACCTTAAGGGAGAGGAAAAAGTGAAGGCAAACAAGAGATAGACAGCGATATAATTCAGAGGAATAACAGTGAGATTGGGAATGAGTGTACAGAGTGTACAGCCAGAAAGAGAGAGAGGGAGAGAGAGAGAGATCCATTGCAGTCAGCCCTCACTTCGGAGATGTATGATTGACTAATTGTACCATTGAAAATTGAGCACAAAATCCTTTTGTTGAATTTATGTTGCATTTCCTTTTAAGCTTGAAGTACATTGGCTAATGTATGATTTAATCAGATATCATTGTAATGTACCATTTATGATTAAGCACACAACTGTATATTTGCTGAATTTATGTTGCATTTCCTGGAAGCTAGAAGTACATTGGGTAATGTATGATTTAATCAAATATTATCGTAATGTACCATTTATGATTAAGCACACAACTGTATATTTGCTGAATTTATGTTGCATTTCCTGGAAGCCTGAAGTACATTGGGTAATGTACGATTATCATATTGGAAACAGTGTTTTCCTGTTTAAATTTAAATAATGCGGACACAAACTATACATTGCACAAGGCTGGCACCCAGTGCCTCTTCAAATCCTGACACTGAATTTATTGTCTGGCATATTTCGCTGTATATTTTTAGATGCATTGCTACAATTATATCAACATTATGAAGATCAAAAATGAAATATTTTCACTGAAATACAAGGGCTGTTCTAAAATCAACCTCTGATTGGCTGGTAAAAATTTTTAAAAGCTGACAATATCGTCTAAATTCATACAGACATTATAATATACATCACTGCATTATTGTCAACATTGTCAGCACCTAAATTAAGGTACTTGTCATACCACAACATGAGTTTCTGTAACCCCTTCATCAAGGAACAGCTCAGCCAGGATACTTAGCCAGTTGTTGACTCCACCCATGAGCTACTCCGCGGTGTCGAAGCGCTGGGTAGCCAACCAAACCTTCATCTTGCAGAAGAGATAATTGTTTAGTGCCAAGTCCGGCTTTGGGCGGGGTGGGGGGGGGGGGGGGGTATGGTGTTGAATGATGTAGCCCTTGTTCACCCTCATCATGCACATTTTTACGCCTATCTCTGATTTTCACAGCTGGCAGGAAAGGCAGTAACAGTGTCCATGTTTATTCGTTTGATATTTTTGAACAAGTGCGACTGTTGGTTGATGGTAGTGAGATAAAAGACTACTGAATGATGTAAACAATAAACTGTGTCCTTATGTCAAATGGTTTATTTTTACCAGCCTGTCAGAGAATTATTTTTGAATAACCGTCTTACATGAAATAATTATGTCTCTAGTTACACTTACGACAGTGAACTTTGTTGAATACAGTAGGTCTTGTATGTTTTGAAAAAAAAATTGTCATTGTATTCTGTCATTTAAAATCAAGTACATAATAATTTCTTCTTCTTCTTTTTCCTGTGTCCTTAAAAGAGTGGTTGGCATGCTGTGTTATGTTTTACAGCTAGTCTGTGATATCTGCAACTTCAGCCCAACACA